TATTTTCACGCCTAAAATCACTCCCAAGTATTAGCAGTTACCTCTATAACTCATTTTTTTAATTTCAAATCTATTCTCTATCCAGTTTATTGATTTTAATTTCCTAAAGAGGTAGAGTTTTTTCTTCATCGATTTTAGAAAAAACAAGTAGGAACTAATTAAGTTTGTAATCTTGGATAAAGAGCATTCCTATCAAACGAGGTCCTATGTACGACATAAATTCAAATATAGTCAAGTATAGAAAACTTCAATTTGTTATTTTAGAAGAAAAAAAACGAATAGCATCTAATTAAGTTTGTAATCCTAAATAAGCCACGTTTCTCTACGAATGAAGTCCTATATACGACGTGAATTCAGATATAGTCAACGGTAGAAAACTTCAATTTTCAATTTTAGAAAAAAACACAAGTAACATCTAATTAAGTTTGTAATCTTGGTAGGGCGCGTTTTCCTTCATATGTGGTCCTATATACGACACAAATTCAGATAAAATCATTTGTAGAAAACTCCAATTTGCTATTTTAGAAAAAAACAAGTAGCAGTTAATTAAATTTGTAATCCTATGTATGGAGCATTTTCCTGCGAATGGGATCCGATATACGATACGAATTCAGATATAGTCAACTGTAGCAAACTCCAATTTGCTATTTTAGAAAAAAAACAAGTAGTAGCTAACTAAAGTTTGTAATCCTAAATAAAGAGAATTTCCTCTTAATGGAGTCCTATATGCGGCGGCGTGAGTTCAGATATAGTCGAACTTCAATGTAAATATCGAACACGATGAGGAGAATATAAAAAAAGTTTTTAATTTATTTTATTTTTATACAACATAGTAATTCCATTTATTTAGTCTAACTTTAAACGAAGGGGATCAAAAAAAAAAAAAACCCTAAAAAAGGAAAGAGGATATTTAATCTAATAAAATGACCAATTTACCCCTACACGCACTATCCACGTATCTCATTCCATCTTTATCAAATATCTCTTAAATTTCACAACCAGCCCCTTTACTTCTCCTTCTTTACACAATAAGGCTAAAACCGTCCTTTCACCTCAAAGCCACTACCCAACGCTCCTGAAATTACAAAAACACCCCGAACTTACCAGATCTCACCACGTGTCCTCTCCCCACAATCCAACGGTGGAAATTCTTCCTCAAACAAACACAGCGAAAACACAAACCCAAAGAGATAACAAAGAAACAGTAACAGCCAATAGAATTGTAACATTTCATTCACACGGATCGATGACGTGGCATTATATATTTTTTGAAATCCCGCCTAAACTAAAACCGGACTTCAAAATTTTATTTTTTTGGTTTATATTCAATTTATTTTAACATTTGGATGGAAAAAATTTCTTTTGAGTCCCTCACCAAAGCCCCTTCTTATCCTCTCTTCACAACACACACACAATACACAATTTCATCTCAAAGGGCAAAAAATATCTCTTTGTTTTTTCTCTCTCAACCCTAGAAGGTAAACCTACGGCGGCGACTCGTCCGAGACGTACTAGTTTTCTGTGGATTTTGAACGGATTGTGAACCGATTCTCACCGGTTTTTGTTGTTTTTGTTGTTTTGTTGCAGTTTTTTTATCATGAAAGGAGGTAAATCCAAGGGGAAAGCTGATAACAAGTACGTATACGTATTACTTTTTTTTGTTGTTGTGGATCAATCTGCAAAGCTGATAACGAATGCGTATATCTCTGTTTTTGTTGTAAATCAATTAGAGAGCTGATAACAAGTGCGTATATCTGTTTTTTTATTCTTCATATTTTCGTCGTGAACGGAGGTAAATCGAGGGATGAAGCTGTTAGAACGTGTGTGTATCTCTTGCTTTGGATTTTTTGTGAAGATTTATTTGGGTGTTTTGAGCTTTAGATCTACGATTGAGGTGTTTGAGCATGATTTGTTTTGAATCTATATTCTTCTGAGGATTTTGGTTGTTTATATAGTTAAAATCTATGAGTGAGGCGTGTGTGCATGACATGTTTTTAATGTATGATTTTTCTTTTGATTTTGGTTATCTACATAGTCAGAATCTACGATTGAGGTGTTTGAGCAATGATATGTTCGAATCTGTGCAATTTTTTAGCGAACTGTTGCGGACTATTGAGTAGATATGCGGTGTTTTATGTCTGTTTTGAATCGATGTTTTATTATGCTTTGGCGAATTATTACAGTATTAGTACTGCTCTGATTTTACTTGATACATGAGCATAGATTTTGGTATTATTTTTGTTAGATTTTCAATTTATTTTGAAGGATTTTGATATATGAGTACATCAAGAGCATAAGAATTGATTGAAATTTTTAAATGTACAAGTGTGTTGGCATACATGTTTTATAATGTCAGGTGTTATCTGTGTGTGGTTATGCTAGTTTAGTTTTAGAATTTGATGTGATTTTTTCTGGATTATTACAGGCTGGTAATGTGTTTGATATTTTCTGTGTTCTATATGCTTGATTTGTCTTGAAATTTGATGTTATTTTTACTGGATTATTTCAGGCTCGGAGTGAAGAAGAGCGCTGCCCAGACTAAAAAGGAGAAGAATGCTGCCAAGGATCCAAACAAGCCTAAGAGGCCAGCAAGTGCTTTCTTCGTTTTCATGTACACATCTGAACTCTGGTTCTTAGATTTTTGGTGACACTTGGGCTTGGTAAATCCTGATTTAATAATGTTATTTTTTGTGACTTGGTATATGAAGGGAGGACTTCAGGAAGCAGTACAAGGAAAAACATCCAGGCAACAAGTCTGTTGCTGCTGTGAGTATTTTCTCTTGTCAGACCTAAATTTAAGACATATTTTGTGCTTGAACTAGTATTTGATTGAGCTTTTTTCTATTGATTAATCAATCTTTAGGTTGGCAAGGCCGGTGGTGACAAGTGGAAACACTTGACTGATGCTGTAAGTATATACTTTTTCACTATTAATATAATACTGTTTTGAGATTTAGTGATGTTGCAGTCTTGTTTTAGTCATCGAGCTTTTTCTTATTGATTTTGAATTTATGAATACAGGAGAAAGCTCCTTACATTGCTAAGGCTGAGAAACGAAAGGCTGAGTATGAGAAGCTTATGGATGCTTACAACAGAAAACAGGCAAGAAGTAACTGTGAATTGTATATTTTGTCCTCTTTTTGTTCTGATGGTTTATTTGTGCTAAAGAAACTCCATATCTTCTGCTGTATAGGCTGGTGAGGCTGAGGAAGATGAGGAATCTGACAAGTCAAAGTCTGAGGTTGATGAGGAAGATGGAAGCGATGAGGTTTGTAGTGGTCAATGATCAATAATTTGTTTAGTCTGAAGAACAATAGCTTTTGTATTATTTGATGATAAAAATTTGTTTACTTTTGATTATTACAGGAAGAAGAGGATGATGACTGAAGTGCTAATGGAGGAGTAAATTGGTGGGGAAGCTGTGTAATACCTTAGATATTTCTCTATATGATGACTCCTTACTTTTCCCCGTTAAATACTTGCTCTTTTTTTGGTTTATTTTGGGGTTTCTTAGGTATGGGAAAAAGATGAATTAGATCAGAGCTATCTTTAAAGCTCAGTGGCTTATGTACTTTTTATTCTGATGCTGGTGTTGCTTAATGATAATGCAACTTTTTAGGCAATTTGTGTTTTCCTTTGATTAGTCTTTCTATAGTAGTGTAGCTTATTGTTACAAAAATATCTCTCGTGGTTTTTCTAATAGAACGCTCTCTGGTCCCTATTTATTTTTCTATGGGAATATGGTCTGATTGGACCATATATCATCATCACATACTTTGATCGCGAAAAATATCTGTCCATCTCTTCGAAATCGTGCATTTTTTATATAATGTAATTTTGTTTCTAGCGAACTGGATATTCAAACACAGTATTTATCTTCAGATAAAAAGTTTTATACTTGATCATTGTTGATTAATATACAAATGATTATATTTTTGTATTGACTAACGTGGGTCACATGGAATAATGTTTTGATCATCAAATCGCAAACAGATACCTTTTTTTAATTTTGTTGGTGGCGTTGAGAATTCCAGGTCCAGCTCATTTTGTCTGCCATTAAGTTCCTTTTTGCCCATACATTTTGAATTTTGAAAATTTGAGTTCTTAAAGCTGTTTGGAAATGTATTACTACTATAGATTTGAATTAATTTGGTTTATGGGTTGAAGTTCAAAAACCTATAAATCTGGTTTGAGTCTGTTTTTGAGAATATTACTAATTAAAATTCATTGTCATTTTTTAATGTTCAACATGCAAAAGCTGTTTTAGGTTTCATTTTCATTGTCGTTACTGTGTTTATCCATTAGGTGGTTTGTATAAACTTAAAATGTAAGTGGTCAGCTTTGAAAAGAATCTTCTGGCCATGAAATTGAAGAGTTAATTATTATCTATGAACTTTGGGTATATGATATTGTTGTGGTAAATGGTCATCATTATGAAAATTGCAACTACTGGGAGAGTGTTCTCACTCACTGGGTTAGTTGGTTCCCTGTTATGTGCCATCATTATTGGTAGATATGGTTTCATTTCTTGTTGGCTCTTTTAGTTCAAAATCCCATCATTAGATAAATGCCATAACATCCACAACATTAAATAATAGCATACCTAATCTAATCTCATTAATACAATTTTATACTAATGCAATAAGTAGGGTTTGAATATCAAGAATAGTGCTTTGTCTTATTAAATACTCTCTTTGTTTTTTTATATGTCATTCTTACTATAAATAGCTATTTCATAATACTTATCATTTCATAAAGTCAATGCATAAATTACAATACTCTTCCTATTATATCCTGAATAGTTAATTAGTCTTGAAAATAAATATTTGACCAACCTAGGAAAATTAATAAATAATTAATGTTAATTGTAATTACTTCATTGATTAATTACTCTCACCATTGGCATTATTCTACAAAATCTAATTTTGAAAAAGAAATCTCAACAAATAAATTAAAAATAGCACTAACTTAGTTTTAATTAATTTTTAACTTATAATTTATTTGGGGGTCTGGCTCGGGTTTTCCCGGTTCGAAAAATGGAGATTTTGAACCGTCTATAAACCATTAAATTTCCTGTGAGGAAAAAAAATTCCGGCAAGAAAATGGCAGCTGCCGGAAAATGCTTCCTTGTCACTGGCCCTGTTGTATGCTCTCTCTCTCTTCCCCCTTTTCTATCTCCATTTTCGCCCATTTCTAATGCACTAACTCTCAGACCCGTTTCTTCTTTGTGTAGAAAAATCTGACATTGATTGGTCATTTTTTTCTTCAGGGTATTGGTAAGACAACTTTGATAGTCAGAGTACTCGAAACTCTCAGAAATTCAAATCCTAATTTGAAAGTTCAAGGGTTCTACACTCGTATGTATAATCTCTCTGTATACCTTTTACTTTATTCCGGTCTATTTGGGGCATGTATGGAGCTAGGTAGGGCTGAGGGGTTTATCGAAATGCCCTTAGGCAGAATTACACTGTTTATACGTGATTAAAATTACTTTTTTGTTGAACCCTTTTGGCCTTTTTGTGTGTTTACTTCTATTTTGATCCCTTTAATGAAAATGCTGATTCTGCCCCTGATTTGGGGAGCTACCCCTTGGACTACAAGTTCTGTAGTAGCTTTGGTCTATTGAGTATATGCAAATTATTAATGTTGAAAGAATCCCAGAACCCATAAGCTTCAAATGCTGGCTTGGATTTGTGGGAAGTTCTAATTTCTTTATCTGATTTTGGTGAAGGTGAGATTAGAGAAGGAACTGAGAGGATTGGATTTGAGGTTGTGACGCTTGATGGACGTACAGGGCTTCTTGCTTCTAACAAAATCTCGAGGTAAAGCTTTCTTCTTTTCCTCTATTTGTTTTGGTAGTTTAACTTTTGAGTGGATTGGTAAACAACCATTTGAGCTCAATAGACGATAGATTTTTTCTTGAGTAAAAGCATTTGCAAGAGAAATGGCTGGAGGTAAGAAATGCTTGATTAAATATGTTCGGATATTCAAAGCAAATAAGCAATATGGTTAAAATGGAAAAGGATTGGTACTGCTTTCTGAGGTTTAAGTATGAACGGCCAAGAGCACCATCACTAGAAGGTGATCGTGTTCTTGCATAACAAACCAATGGCAAAAAAAAGGGGGTATAAGAAGCATTAGGAGAATATTGTCAATGATTCCTGGCATTATAACCTTTTCGATTCTTTCCTTGACTCTTCCACCATTTGATCCTTGGATGATGGATTGTTAGAAGAAAAGTTGTGAGAGGATATAGAAAGTTCATTTTGCGTAAGAGTATTTAGCTAATAAGCAGTTTGAAGAGAGAAGTAATCCAAAGTAGTTGTACTGATATGTGCTTAGTCAGTTAGCATTAGAAGCTGCCAGATTACGAATGATGGCTGTGATCAGTGGCATTAAGCCCGGAACAGATGTGTGAGAACTGAGAAGAGAGGGGTGATCCTTTCATGGTTTAGAGTCACACATCTTCTGTGACTGGTTTTTCAATCCTTTGAAGGCTTTACAGGGAAGTCAAGAACAAGGGTCGAGAGACTAGTAGTAATCCAGTCAAGGGTGATAATGCTATACTGAATCCATAAATATTCATCGTGAGTTGGTGATGGACATCAGGGCATGGAATAAGACCATCCACCAAGAAGATGAGGTATTGACTTTTTAGTGTAGTGAAAAAAAATGATGTAATACCTTTTTAGTATAATGTGAAAAGATTTTTAGTGAGGTAGTTTGGGTAGGTAAATTCAATTGATAAAAGCCTTTGATGTTGGAAAGTTGTGCAAAAGACAAGGGAAGATTGTGGGGAGTGCACTCAGTATAGGAAGAAATAAATAAACCTTGGTTTTGATATCTAGTTGAGACTTTGAAATATAATGTGTCTATAGCAGTTTCTTCTGATGAATTAATAATTTAATGATGTGGGTAAAAACCGTATAAAAAAACTAAAAAATTATAGAAGAAAAATGGAGAACCTTGTCACGCCCCGAGCTTGCACCCTGGGGGGACTGTCACTCGAAGGCCATTGTTGGCCCCAAGCGAACCCTTGGCCTGACTTACTAACTCAACAGAAGACTTAACTCATCACATAAAACATTTATGAAGGAACTAGAATGTCATAAAGGAACATTCAACTGGCCATTTAGGCAAACTCAAGTCTTTAACATAAGAAGTGAAAAGTAAAGACAACTGAAATAACTAACTGACTGTCTGTCTATGAAGCCTCTAAAACAACTGAGATGGATGTTGGGACAAACCCTACAACATCCTAATGGACTAAACTAGAAATCAATGAAAATAGATCCTCCGGAATTCAAGGAGGCTCATCGACTGACTCTGAACTGCTCATTGGATCAACAGTGCGCTGGAATGCCGATCCTAGTTACCTGTGTCTGCATCATAATAAGATGCAGGCCAACTGGCATCAGTACTTTGAATGTACGAGTATGCGAGTCGGAATCCTAAAACAACATAGGCTGGAAAGAGAATCTGAAAGAAACACTTACCTTGGCTCTTCTCAACTCATGAATACTTAACTGAACTCATTTCAATATAAAGCAGTTTAAAACAAGTGCAATATAAAGAAAAGCTGTTTAAAAACATGATGTCAACTCTGTGTATGTGCAAGGATACAACATAACTTTGAAATGTACGTAAAAATACAATAAACTGATGTATATAAAAATACAATAACTTCTGTGGGAGTTTTTCTAACCGACAACCATCACATAAGAGCTATAGTGATGATACAACGATCTACCTCACGCTGCCAGCGCATCCTACACCCGGCCAAAGGTATAGAACCTGAACTGCCTAATGGATCCACTAGTCTATTTCGAAAAGGATTCATCTAAAAAGTATGATCCTTTTCTACCCATGGTGGCTACATGGTTTTATGGTGACGTGAGTTATCTAAACTCATGCTCGTCCCCAATTCGGTGCTCAATACTACTCCCAAAATATACTGGCTCTTATGTTTTAAAAACATACTTATTCTGTGATTTGAGATTAGTGCTCAAAAATTTAGCTCGAAGGCTATCTTGGAAATCTCAGTTTCCCTGCTTGCTTCATTTAGAAAGCTATTACTCTTTTCCGAATACTAGCCCGAAAGTTCTTTGGAAATCTCAGTTTCTGCTCTTATTTAAAATGTGAAAACATTTTAAAATCTCTTTGGGAATACATAGTCCCCATATACTTCTTTGAAGAAAAGAACTTCAATTTTACATCCTTACTGAACTCGAAGCTTAAGTCTTAAAACAAAGTTAAAACATTTGTGAAAGACTTTTGAAAACTTTAAGAACTCATCTTAACTTGACTCTTGACTTCTCTTGACTTTGACCTTAACTGCTCTTGACTCGACTCTTAACTGATCCTTGAATTGAATTATGGATTCAAGGATTAAGATTTATGACTGGAAAGATCTCATGATGTTTAAGAATGATTCTAGATAGTTAAACATGAGAAAAGACCAAAAAATCAATATTTGAAGGTGGGTCCGCGACGCGGAGGCATAATTTAATTTTGGTTCCGAAAATGTCTTTTGAGGCAGAACACCTCGTGTCAGCTCCGCGACGCGAAGCTGAAATTTCAATTCTGGGAACAAGTTGCGCGACGCACTCCCATGTTCAGATTTCGCCCGTCGAAATTTCTTCTTCGTTTTTCTTCCCCAATCCACCGAAACTCGATTCTTTTTCTTAAATCACTTTTAGATACAGATACACTAGCAAATGTACCTAAGAACCTAACTCGAAACGACCCTATAATGCGACGAAACGAACTCAGAAACTTCCCAATTCAGTCAAATTCAAGAACAATATATGAATTCAAGAATAGGTATCAAGATCATCAATATTCAAATGCTTTTAGGGCGAATCCAAACTGAAATAAATATGCTTGGCACGTGGGAGAACGATCCCAATGTTACGAGAGCCTCACATACCTGCTATAAGTAAATCCTTTGGTGAAACACCAAGTTCCTTGATCGATCTTGATGAATTTACCCTTTTCTCCTTCTTCTTTTCTCTTCTCCTTAGCCCTAGCGTGAAATCCCAAGTTCTAAAACTGACTAAGTCCTGAATTGACCCATATTAAACTCCTAAAATCGGATTAAAATAATAGGGCAGTGAAAAGACTAAAATACCCCTTATATTTTCGGATTGGACATTTTCTTAATCCAACTGTCCAACTTCCAAAGGGGATAACTTGCTCATACAAACTCGGAATCGCGCAAACTTGGTGGCGTTGGAAAGATCATTCCAAGAGCTTCCCAACCATATCTGGAACTACACCTAACTCATCCTGAGCTAGTAGTTATGGCCATCTGAAGTTGACCAAAAACTCAACTTTAACTTACTTACAATTTTCCAGATTTCCTTATACTTTCCAAAAATAACTATTTCCAGATTTTAAACTTCTTTCTAGTTGCGAGATGTTACAAACCTAGACAAGGATGTGGTGTCTTAAGGACACCTACTAGCAAGAATCTCATCGGTGACCTAAAGTTAATAAAAAATAAAAGGCATACTCTAAGTTGTACAAAGCCGTAATTCACCCCTCCAAAAGCTCTCATATTCCTACCGTCAAGGGTGTAGCTAGTAGTCAATGAAGTGAGTGCAAAGCCCTTACATTCCATGTGCGTAAGCCTTGATGGATAAGTTACTCGATACTTGCGCTGGTGGGAGGTAGAAGGTATCCGGTGGAATAATCGATGTCCTTGCAAATTAGTCCAAACAACACCACTACAAGAAAAAACAAATAAGCTCTCATATTCCTTTGTCTTTGTATGCACATAAGTATTAGGGTGCTACTTTCCAAGCTCTACATCTGCTTCTTCTCTTTCTGAATGTTCAAGAGTTCATTGCGTTCTTCCCTTCATGATGCTCTTCTGTAGCACCTGTCCATAAGGTAAAGTGTTGTTGTCGATCCTCCCCCTCCATCATAATGCAAGTACTTATTCTCAATTTTCTACTTGTTACTTGCCTAGTAACGCTCGGTTAAAGTCCTTAAAGCGTTTACTCCTACCCCTCAAATACCTGATTACTAATAGCGGATGTGGCTACAGTTGATTTAGCTTGTGAAATTTTGTCTCCGTAATTTTTATTCCAGGAGAAGTTTTATTTGAAGTTCTTCTAACTTTTAGGCTACACTTGTCAGTGTGAGTATGAGGAACATTTAATATGTCAGGGTACTTGATAGTGTACTCTTGGAGTGTGTAATTTCCAATGTTTGGCTGGTCAAAATACTTTTGAAAACATTTTCTCTAGGAAAACAAGTTCCTTAAAAATGAGGAAAACGACTGCCCTAATGGAAGAAGGAAAAGCTACTTCCATAAATGACTATCCAAGTTAATTATCTCCTCCCCATCTACCCAATGCCCCAACTCCCACTCCTTGACCATCCCACCCCCACCCCAACCCCTGCCACCCTCAACCCCTCCCTTACCCCATGTCCCCATCCCACCCATAGTGTTTTGCTAGATTACATATAATTTTTTTTGTTTACTTACCAAGCACTAGAAAATAAGTAAGAAAGCCACTTGTTTTCCAAGAAAATATTTTCCTTCGTGCCAAACACACCCTTGATCAAGACTCTCTTAACCACTTTGGTCAAATACCTTTTCTTACCCCTCTAGTCTCGTCCCATTCTTCAATCACAATATTCTAGACTATAGGGATCCTGTTTGATGCTCCTAGTGGTAGCCGTAGATAAGTGTTTGGAAGTGCTCTTATCTTGTGGTTGAACACATGTGCTAAGTGCTAACTGCTTAATGTTGTCCACTCCTCTCATTCGGACAATCTCACACATCTTTAGGTTGATTTTTCTGCCTTGAAACTACTTGTAACCACATTAGGACCTTTCTCAGGTAGGATAAATAGAGTGCCTCCACATTACAAATTTACAAAATATCAGGGTAGCATCTGCGAACAAGAGATGGAAGCCAACATATCATTACTCTTAACACTTGCCGTGTAGAATTTCAAAGAACCTTCCACCACCACTCTGTCCATTATCAAAATGAACAACAAGAGAGATACTGAGTCCCTGCCTCTACCTTCTGCAGCTGTCAAAAAACCACATGGGCTACTCAACAGGACTGAGAACCTCACCTTCAATATACCAAACTTTATCCACTATTTTCCAAAGCCATCTTCAACAGCACAAAATCCTAGAAATTCTAGTTCACGTGATCGTTGACCCTGTGAGGATGTTATTTGCATAGGAAACGTGGTTCCCCCTATTTTCTTTTGGTACTTGTTCTAGAAAGTTTTTCCCCATCAAGTTATCTGGAAATGCATTTCTCTGGGAAAATGGTATTGGTATCCTCATTAATTATGTCTCAACGTATTCCTTATTGTTTCTGCTGGTGAAAGAGATTCAACTTTTGATATTATTTTTTTGAGAATATATCTCTTTGATATTTGCAATTTGCATATACTGCAAGAAGAAGAAATTCTTGCCCGTTATTGCATAATTCCACGTGAATTTTATGAATGGAGAGTACTAATGTGATGGAGATGTGTTCAGCCTATTTCCTCTATTGTTGACTATTGTATCTGCAGTTTTTAGTTGTGGGAGAAATGAGAAGAGTCGAAGACTGAATAATTAGTTGTTTATTTACCAGTTCAATTTCTCTCTGGTGAAAGATGTGAAATTTTATTCAAGTCGATAGTTCCTGATAACATCCTCCTCAAGATCCTCTTTTCTTTTGAAACCGGTAACTTCAGTCTATATATCCACAGGTATACTACAACAAAAGTGTAGCTCCCCTTCAAAAGTGTTACAACCCACAGAGAGAGACAATCTTAATCTGAACTGCTGCCTATAAACAATCTAGCACATCAAAGATGTCTTCTGTCCTAGTTAATATATCTTCTTTACACCAAAAATAATAAAGAGCTAAGCAATTCATTTTGATCTTCTGTAAGCTGCTCTGCACATTCTCAAAACTCCTGTTGTTTCTCTCTTTCCAAATTGTCCACCAAATGCATGCTGGGACAAGTTTCCATCTCTTCTCCTTATCTGAAGCATTGCCATCTCTATTCCAGCTGCTTAGAACTCCTTTAATGCTCCTGGTTTCACCCATCTTATCCCCTGTAGACAGATGAACATTCTCCATAACTGTTCTGTCCATGTACAGTGCAAAAAAAGATGGTTTAATTGTCTCTGCATGCTCTCCACATAAAGTACATCTAGAGGCCAACTGATAGCCTCTTTGTTTAAATTTTCATGAGTCAAAACTGATTCGTTTGTCAACAACCACATGAAGTAGTTTATATACAGCACACGTGATTATGGTTGAGTTATTTTCTCTGAAGTGATACAAAATTGTCAAAAGCTATAGCCTTGTGAATTTAGGTTGTTTTTAGTTTAGTCAAGCTATATGTTTAAATTATCTGACTATGTTCCCATCAATAATTGCATGATTTTGGTGTTATGCTTTCATTTTTGCTGAAGCATTTTTAACCATGCAGCGCGCAGTCTCTTAGATGGCCCACTGTGGGAAGATACAGGGTAGATGTTGCATCATTTGAGTCGTTGGCATTGCCAGAGTTGCAGGTTGGTTGAGTTCTTTCAGCAGGATTTTAGTGACTCATATCCTGACATTGTTGTACTTCACTTGGAGCGGTAACTTTGACTTTGTTCAGGGATCTTCTTTAATAACTAATCGTGATTGCAAATTATAAAACATTCAATTTGTATCATCATTGCTTTAGCACATAAATAAAAGAATTTTTGATCCATAATATATTGTATATTTCCATTTGATGGTTCATAATTTTGTTAGGTAAGGGAAGATACCGATCTCTTCATCATCGATGAAATTGGGAAGATGGAGCTCTACAGTTCCTCATTCTTTCCAGCTGTACTAAAGGTCCTTCAATCTAATATCCCACTCTTGGCTTCTATTCCCATTACAAAAGTAGGCAGAGATATACCTGGAGGTATTTCCCTATATTTATGTATTTGTTGCAAATGATTACTTAGAGCTGAGATTAGCTTGCCAGTTGATCTATATTCTTTTTTTTGAAAAAGTGAGATAATAGTGTGACATGTCTTCATCACTGTCGACAAACTCCCCTCTATCTGTATGTTTTGCGTTTGTGTAAGTCTGGACCTTAATTTTGTTGTGATCACACCGGTAATCCTACATGCCAAATCCAAATCAATCAAATTGGTAGTCAAGTATCTATGTACTAGGGATTTGTCGGAGAAATATCTTCTAATGTAGAATGTTATATGGGCCATATAGATTTTATACAAGGGTTTAGAGTAATACTCCCTCCATTCCAATTTATGTGGTATTGCTTGACTTGACACAAAGTTTAAGAAAAAAAGGAAGACTTGTGAAATATGTGGTCTAAAACACTTCTTGACCATTTGTGTGGCTATAAATTATTACATTAAGAGTAAAGTGAGAATTTTAAAGTGAAGTTGTTTTTAATTATAAAAAGTGACATTTTTTTTGGAACTGACTAAAAAGGAAAGAGTGTCACATAAATTGGGACATACGAAGTATTAAGTTGCTCTGACTCAGTTTGGATATTCTATACATGTGCGGATCTAGAGGTCGGATCCTTCATGATCTAAGTTTTAAGATTTGGAAACAATCTCAGGGGTAGGGGAAAGGTCTGGGTATACTCTACCCTCTCCAGACCCACTTTGTGGGATTTCACTGGGTATGTTGTTGTTGGTAGGGATCCAAGTGTCAAGTATACGAATATGGGTGTGGGGACTCGCTATATATAAAAATAGAGCTATAAAAATATAGTTTTTTTTTTATAACCGAGAAATCCGTCTGTGACCCGCCCTTTGGACCAATCACAGCCTTCTAAACTCGGTGGATAATGGGCCCGCCCCTCTACCCTTCTCCACTTAAATACCGGGCTTCGCTTTGCATGGTGTGGGGCTTGAACCTGCGACCTAAGCCACAAATCCTCCCACCTTTTGCCACTTGAGCTAGGCCTTGGGGGCTTAAAAATATGCCTATATTTTATTTTTTTTGATAACCGAGAAATCCGCCTGTGGCCCGCCCTTTGGACCAATCACAGCCTTCTAAACTCGGTGGATAATGGGCCCGCCCCTCTACCCTTCTCCACTTAAATACCGGGCTTCGCTTTGCATGGTGTGGGGCTTGAACCTGCGACCTAAGCCACAAATCCTCCACCTTTTTGCCACTTGAGCTAGGCCTTGGGGGCTAAAAATATGCCTATATTATGAGACATTATGTGGAAAACTTATATGTAGCTTTTGTAGTGCAGTAACTCAAATCTTTTATTCAAGTGGTAGGTAGCCATCTAGAAATCTACAGTAGCTGTTGTCTTGAGAAATTTAAAATGCCAAATCATGACTCTAAATTTTCCGTAGTTTGTGCCTTTGTGGTTGAAGTACCTAATGTTGATCGACCAGATCTTGTACGTATCCCACACCCATACTAGTTTCAGTGTCGTGTCGACATGGGTGTGAGATTGTGGCAACACAAATGAAGAGTTTGCCCAGCTTAGTAGTAATGTGACGTTTTGCAGAAAATGCTTATCGGAACTTTTTTTACTATTTATCTTTGTTAAAGCTGGAAGCAAATGATGAAAACTCCAAATCTATGTTTGCTATTTTATGTACCTATGTAAGCTATCCTGATCACTCTGCATAATCAACTTATCACGTCTGTTTTCTTGGTCATTTTTCACAAATCTTCTATATTGTTATTTTGTTGTCTTTTAATCCCTGCTTTTGACCTCCGAACTTTCACTGTTTACTCGAGTGTTGGACTTATAAACCAGCATTCTTGTACTTATCAAAGAAAAAAATAAGCCAACATGGTTTTGGATTTTTGCAGTTGCGAGGATGAAGAATCATCCAGGAGCTAGAGTTTTTACACTTGATGCAAATAACAGGGATGCTATGAGAGAACAAATATGTTCCATCTTAGCAGATATGCTGCAAAAGCCTTAAACGTCGAAGAGCATAATCTTCCAGCTAATGTTGTAAACACTCCTGCTGGTAAACAAACTTTAACCTGATCGTCAAATCTTCCAGTAACTTACCTTCATTATTTTGTCCTTCGGAGATGCACTATTCAAGAAGACAAGAATGCAAGTGGAATATTTCCTTGATTCCCTTAAAATCTCCAACACTTTGAACACCATGGTGGCGTAGAATGCTCAGAACAATTGCTGAGAGAGGAATTTTGAAGACGAGAGAGAAAAAATGGAGCGATGTTTTTTATAACACGTTGCTGGCCAATTCTAACTAGTCACAATCTAACTTTTCTGAAGCTTCCTTTAATTTCTTTTCTGTGTTGTTATGGTGTACTGAAAGATGCCAGTGTGTGCTGTTTGATTATATTGATTGTGGAAAATTGATCCAGTCCTTCCCTGAACTCTGTGCATAGCGGAAGTTTAGTGTGTCAGACTGCCCTTTTTTTTTGAACATTTGTTGTATTGAGTTCCTCCAATCATGGTTGGAAACTTGTAGCCTTCTTCGACCGCCTTGACATCCTTCACCTTGATGGTTAGAAGATGACTTGAAGGACTGAAAAAGAAGGAAGAATCAACAACAATAACAACATGAGCAATTTGTTATATGCCAAACTTGGTTAAATTTTAAATTAAATTCTTTTTGGATAACAAATAGTACCATGCTATTTGTGGATCGTAGTCATCAAACCTTAGTTTTGCATGCAACTTTATATTATGTTGAAAAGAGAGCAAATTGTAAGAGTCCAAAATAGGAATAAGTTACATGGTAAGTTGATAGATGTGGATGTGGAGAACCAACCTAGGTTGTAACGAGATGGTTGAGATCTCTCCACTTTTAATAAGAGGTTTCAGATTTAAGCCCTTGGAATGGAAAAAAATAATCATGTCGAGGGTGTCGCCCTTAGAGATGAGCCATGCAATATTGTGTGATTAATTTGAATTTAGTTGAATCCCAATGCGTATAACTTGGTGCAATACCAGAACCATAATTTTTATCAAGGCGATTCAAAATTTATAGAAGTACTACTAAATACACGGAAAAGATGAAGGAGTTTAACTTCTAATATATATACATAAAATAATACTCCATCCATCCACTTTTAATTAGTATCATATTTTCTTTTTTTAGAGTCAAAAAACTTTGAGCAACATTTTACACTTTCCATATACTTTTTGAATATCTAATTTTTTTGTTTAAAATATCAAATTAATGTAATCTAATTTAACTTTGAAAATCAGTCAAATTGACTTTTGAAAAATGCAACATGACAATTAAAAGTGGATGAAGGTAGTATTAACCTATATTTATCAGCGAAGAAAACTCAAATGAACCTCTTGAGCCCCTAACTGGGATGTGTGGATACAAAGGTGGTCCAAATTAATAGTATAACCAAATAATATACTACTAATAATTTTCTTGTAACTTTCATTATTAAGGTCACTAAAATCTTATGGCTTTAGGATTTGCATGAACGTGATACAATCCTTCTACATCATTTCTAATAAAGGTTCAACTTTCTGCTTAATTTTCTATTAACAATCACAATAAAGCTATCATCACCATTTTCATGAGTTGTAACTTATAAGGTAAGTAGCAAAATTAAAATTTCACTAAAGTGTATTTATATATATATTATATACTTTTCAACGAAGAGTGTTCAACTGACCAATCTGACTTGTATAAGAAATGTGGAGAACTCTCAAGAATATAAGTAGTTGGCATTGAATTGGATTTGTTTTACTTTTTCTTCACAAGTTTGAGACTATTTGCTGCCTTTTACTTTTGTGTATGTATGCCCTTTTTTCTCTAGAAATGTAAAGAGAATTCTCAAGAATATAATTGTGTGAGACTATATATTAATTTGCTATAGATCACAATAACTTCCTCGTTTCGTGATCATGGTTGTAGGTAGTCTGAGGCGGATCCAGGATTATTAGTTTATAGATTCTGGACCATTATTCTTCGTTCGTGCTTATTTAGTAAATTGTTTGATGCAGAGTTGCCTCTCCAAAGTTGTTGCAATTTTAACATCATGGTAAGATTGTCAGATCTTATTGACGTTGATGCAGGAGGGACGATGAGGATGTCTCTTTCGAATAAGAGAGATGGAGGTAAGTGTTTTCAATCTCTAGTTGTGTCGATGGAGGACAATGTTGTAGTAGTAAAGATTTCAAAGATGTCATTTTTCTACTTAGCTAATTTCATAAACTAAAAGTGCTTAGTGATTTGTCTATATACATTGCTTGGACTCCTTAAATCGTTGTCAGGTGTGTATCGGATCCTTCAAAAGCTATACATTTTTTGGAGGATCCGACATGAGTATGGCAACATTTTTGGAAAGTTCGAGCAATAGAGGTTACAAGAGTGTTGATGATTCTTTACCAACACTATTGAAAAATGATTGCACTATTAAGGGAAATTACTGGATAGTAGTTTTTCACTATATATACGTGATTCGTGTAAAAAATACTGGATTCAACTGAACTGATAGGAATAGGCTGCATCAGCCTCTGGTTTATTCGAACCCTCTTTGATAAAAAAATTACACTATTTATACATGGTTAAAATCATCTTTTATGTATATATAGTAGATGTTGAATTCCGTTGGCTTCTTTGTGAGTTAACTTCTTCATATTTTGAACCCTCTTAGTGAAAATGCTGGTTCTGCCACTATGGGATATATTAGAAGTATTATGATACATTCGTCTATTCTGCAGGCCTAGAAGCTCCTCGAAATAGATCAGAGAAGCCAGCAGAGAGCTTCTGTGATGGAGGGGACGATATCCTGGTAATAATTTGTTATGTTATTCTGGAATTATTGCGATTCTGGTTGTATCGTCTTCTCTTAGTTTATGTGAGGTTAAATCTTACTATATGGAGCCTTGACAGTGAAATGAGAAACATAACATCTTCTATACAATTTATGCATTTTGCAAGTTCAGGATAAGAAAAATCCTCTATCTTGCTAACGTACTCGTGAGATTAACAATTGGTACTTCTTGAGCATTTGATTCTTCTCTTCGATCATCATTTTGTCAACTTCACGGAAAGTTTCACTTTTAGGAGCTGTAGAGTTGCAGTTTTCATTGTCATTTTGAACGTAAACTGATCACACTCGACATGTCTGTCACTTTTACCTACGATATCATTTGGTTTCGTTCCTTCTAGTGTTCTTGAGCTGAGAATTTGATTCTTCTCTTCAATCATCATTTTGTCAACTTCGCGGAGAGTTTCACTTTAGATGCAGTAGGTGCTGTAGAGTTGCAATTTCCACTGTCATTTTGAACACTGGACATGTCTGTCAACTTTTACGTGCCATTTGGTTTCCTTCGTTCTGTTGTTACTTCTGATCTTGTTTTCAACACAGTTTGTTATTTCTTTGATACGTCGTGAGAGTGAAATCCATCTCTGAATGAAAGTTTGATACATTTGATTCTCATTTTGGTTGCATTTTCGCGATTCAACTCACTAGTTGCTTAAATTCAGTGTACATATCACATGACAAATGACTGGCCAGAGAAGAAGAACTGTTATGTGAAAGAGGTTCCAATGAAGAAACTGATCAGTGAAGAATTAGCTAAAAGACCAAACACAGGACAGAATGTGCCTAGCGTTGTGGCCCGTCTGATGGGACTGGATACATTATCAGTAGATGAGGAGAGGTTGAGAGAGGTTTCCTCGAGACAAACAGTTTTCGATTCCTTTGACAGATGGAGTAGTAATAGCCTGAAGTTCAACGAACTTAAACCCCGAGAACATCCACAGGAAGAGGAACTACAAAAGTTTAAGAAAGAGTTTGAAGCATACCAAGCAGCAAGGTCCAAGGAATGCTCAAAGTTTGTTGAACTTAGCACCAACACGGTTCTTTACGCGAACTCAACGAGAAAGATGGTTACTGAGAGATCTATAGATCTTAAAGGACTTGGTGCAACAGAAAATATACACGAAAGAGGTATTTCGAAGGTTCAGAAAGATAAAAATGACTTTCTTGCAGCTGCACGAAATAAGACTATTCGTGCATTGAACGTTAAGTCGGGTTCTGCTCCTGCAAAGATTGTAATTTTGAGGCCTGTTTCCGACAGGACGGGGAAAAATGAAGAATCATGGGCTAATTCTCCTAGAATATCCGAAGACGGGAGTAGCATGGAAGAATTTCTTCAGGAGGTTAAGGAAAGACTAAAGTATGAATTGCAAGAGAAGAGTTACCGCAAAATCATTGAGAAGCCATCAGATGCAAAGATAATAGCTCAATGTATTGCAAAACAGGCGCGAGAGAGTGTTACTAGGGGTGTTGGAACGACTCACCACCGATCAGAATCAATGCAGTCTTATAGAAGTGAAATCCAATGCGACGAGGCTAGCTCACCTGAATTCACTAATAGAGATACAAGAAGAAGTTTGACAGAAGGGTTGAGGAATGTCCTGAGGGACGAATCATCTCATGATATGGACAAACATGGTCGTGTAAGCTCCAGATCAGTAACACAGAATAGGGAAAAGAGCAAAGCTGAAGAAATCAGATATGCTTCGAATTATGAAGCGTGCCGCGGGGATGATATGAAAGATGAATCAGGCATGCAGTGCAGATATTCCAGGCAGGAACTAGGTAATGATGTTATGCTAGACCAGAAACTATTTCACAGGAACCTGGTTAGATCTTTGTCAGCTCCCGTATCACGATCATCATTTGGAAAACTTCTCCTGGAGGATCAAGATATGTTAACGGGGGCTCATATTAGGAGAAAACACGAAGCTATCGAGGAGGTCACAGTGAACGTTAAGAAATGGCGAAAAGAGAAATTCAATCTTAAGGAAAAAGTTTCCAGCTTTAAGTATAGTTTTGTACTAAAAGGAAAGCTCTTTGGTAGAAAAATTCAATCTTTGGAGGAATCACATGGAAACAAACAAATGCACATGAAAGATCTTCAGAGCACACAAACTGTTGCATCCAAATCTTATGTGAGACAAGTAAGAATCTTCAAATGTCCTTTTTTCTTTTCGACTACTGAAAATTTTGAGATAATGGTCAAAAACACACCTGAAGTATCACGTTTTGCAAGTTTCCTACCTGAACTATCATGTGTTCACTTTTCTTACCTCAACTATCACCAACTATTTATCAAAACACACCTCAACTAACAGTTGTTCACTTTTCCTACTTGAAATAACACCATCGTTTAGGTAGGAAAAGGTAGCAACTGATAGTTGAGATGTGTTTTGATAAATAGTTGGTTATAGTTTAGGTAGGAAACTCGCAAAAACGTGATCTTCTAGTGTGTTTTTGATCATTAACTCGAAAATTTTAGATCTTAATATGCAGGTTGATTTCATCGATGGTCACGAAAAACATACTCTTTGTAACACTAAAGTCACAAAACTATTTTGTAACAGAACTAGTTTTTATGCTGATATGCTATTGATGTATACCTTTATTATCTTATTTGGTCCTAGGAGAATTCTACTGAGGTGCCACCAAGCCCTGCATCTGTATGTAGCACAAGCAATGAAGAATTTTGGAGGCAAACAGGTTACTTCAGTCCATCATCATCATCAATTTCAGATGTAAATCCACTGGATGATAGTGAGATACCTCATGTTTTCAAAGAGATCAGCTCTAATCTGAACGGTACGAGTAAAAACTTATGTTAACTTTAGTACATTTGTAGTTTAGGCCCGGTTACAATGTGATGTGAGATGGACTTAAGAGTTCAAATCTTGCCATAACATGAAACTTTAACTACTCCCTCCGATCCAGTTCAATTTGTTTGTCTGGTTTTGACTTGACACGAAGTTTAAGAAATTAAAGAAGACTTTTGAATCTTGTAGTCTTAAACTAAAGATATGTAGAATGTACCAAAAGAGACATTCTTTTTTAAATAGACTAATAAGGAAAGTAAGACAAACAAATTGAAATGGAGGGAGTATGATATTGTAACATTCGTCTGAATGGATTTTTTTTCCTTACGTTCAATTAGCATCTTTCTTCCTCTAGAAATAGGGAAACTAGAAGTAAGGAACAATAAGGAAACTCGAGTTGAACAACACATTCTTTGCTACAGCTGATAAAGTCGTCGTTCTATAGATGATGCATATGTAGAAAGCCTATTTGGTTCTAGTAGTTGTAACAAAGTGAATGCTAATTTTGAAACTTTTGATGACACAGAGCTAAGGAGGCAATTGAATCAGCTAGAAACTTATGACTCTGAGGAGACAATGATCGACGAGCAGCCTATTGAAGAGGAGATCGTAATGGAGATTGACGATCCAGCTGAAGCATTCGTTAGAGATCTTCTTGTTGCTTCTGGTTTATACGATGGTTCATGTGATAAATATCTATCGAAATGGGATCCTCTAGGAAAGTCCATCAGCAACCAAGTCTTTGAAGAAGTCGAAGAGTCTTACAACAGGCAAAAGATAAACGATTACAATGAAGGATCAAGCACTGATCATCAATTCAAGAAGTTGAATCACAAGTTATTGTGTGATTTCTTGAATGAAGTGCTTCCAAGTGTACTCGGAAGCACTTCTATGAGAAGGACTATTAGTCCTACTCCACGAGCTCCGCGGGGAAATAAGTTATTAGAATGTGTATGGGAAATTGCTCGAATTTCATCAGATATGTCATCTCAATCCCTCGAAACCATACTAACTCGAGACTTGCAATGCACGCGTTGGGACGGATTAGTTGATGAAGATGTTAATGCTCTAGGAAAAGATGTTGAATACCAGATTGTTTGTGATCTTATTCATGAAATGATCAATGATATGCAACCATAAATATGTTCTATCTTCTTCTTGTATATATGATCAATGATATGCAATCATAGTTTATAACATGTTTTCCAATTCACTTTTCACTTTTGAAGTTGTATAAGTATATTTAAGCATGAATATTATTCCAAATAGGCATAACACATAAATATATCATTTAACCTTGGCCTCGGCCGACATCTATGCCCTTCAACTCTGGGTGTGCACAAATAGACACTTAAACATGTATAAAGTTGAACAAGCAGATGTACGTGTCATATGTGGCGTTATACACGTAAGACGCTATTGCCACGTCGACGTCAAATAAGATGTGTGTTTACTTTTTCAACTCTATACAAGTTTAAGTGTCGCACACCCAAAGTTAAAAGGACATTATTGTCAGATAAAGCCAAGTTAAAGGGCACATTATGTATTACGCCTACCATATATGTAAAAGATAAAACTTTGATTAGCCTGCCAGATTTGACATAAACGTGCCCTTTAATTCGGCCGGTATCTATGCCTCAAACTTAGGGTGTACATAAGTAGAAACTTAAGCTTGTATAAACTTGAACAAATAGACACACAAGTCTTACATGACATAATACAAGTCAGTTCAAGTGTATTTCACGCAAATCGACTGCAATATTATTTCCTTGTACAAATTTAATCAACAATGATTTAATGTTGGTCAAATAGATGTTTCAGATCTGGGAATTTCTTTCAAAATTGATCGAGGAAAGACTCAAAATAGTCCCTCATCTTTGAGTTAAGGCTCAAAGTCATCCTTGAGTTTTCACATGGAGCACTAATAGTCCCTCATGTTTGCAATATTGGTGCACTTTTGGTCCTCCTCCAAAATTTTGCCTATTTTTTAACATTGATTTTATCCATAACTTATGTATGATATGTTCAATCGTCATTTTATATATTTAGTAGAAATAATAACTCTATGTGAGAGAAGGTGATAAGAAGAACACATTGTTTTTTCTAGTAGAAATATTACTGCAGCTAAGCTAAGAACATCTTAACATATGACGTTGGAAGTAAAAAAAAAAATTGTACTATTGCACGTGAAATTATCGTGATGAACCTCTCGACTTTACCTGCAATACAATTTCTACTTAACAAAACAAGATGCTTTTCTTCTCACATTCTCTCATATGGAGTTATTATTTCTACTTAATATATAAAATGACAACTGAACATATCATACATAAGTTATGGATAAAATCAATGTTAAAAAATAGGCAAAATTTTGGAGGAGGACCAAAAGTGCACCAATATTGCAAACATGAGGGACTATTAGTGCTCCATGTGAAAACTCAAGGATGACTTTGAGCCTTAATCCAAACATGAGGGACTATTTTGAGCCATTTCTCAAAATTGATTTATTCAATTAATTGGAGTAGAAAATGTTTGTAGCGTAAATAAAATCATCATCATATACCTAATTTGTGGTCCACATAAGTTGGGGAAAATATATATATGAGGATTAGTTGAAAAGAGATATTGTTAACAAAAAAAAATATAATAGTTTAATATTACTTTTTTTGCAATATGATTTTTTTACAAATAAGAGTTGGTGGTTTTGTTAATTCTATATAAAGTTTACAATTACGTTTATCCGGTATTTGGTTATTAATATATGGCTAATTTTATTTATGACAAAAAAAAAGAAGCATAATACATAAATATGCTCTTTAATTTGGCTTCAAATCACATTTATGCCCTTCAATTTTGGGTGTGCACAAGTAGACACTTAAACTTGTATAAAGTTGAATAAATAGACACACATGTCCTACATGGCATCATACATATCATTTTTTGTCCTACGTGGTGTCCTACGTGTATTGTGTCACATAGGACTCATGTGTCTACTTGTTCAAATTTATACAACCTACTTACGCATACCCAAAGTTGAAGGGCATAAATGTGAAATGAAACCAAGTTAAATGACACATTTATGTATTATGCCAAAAAAAGAAATGAAAAACAATAACTAATTCAATCGTTTTTTTTATAAACTTTATTCGTATTTAACTTCAAATATTATCTATGAAGTTTAGTTTAATCAATCCTAACTTTAGATGCATGTCTGAAGTGAGATATGCACATATTTTTAATGGCTAGGTCTTAGGTGCAAGTTAAAAATCAATATCAAAACAAATTTAACTTTAGGTATTAGTTTCTAAGTGTATTAAGTCATCATCTGATGTGTGTATCTATTTATTTAATTTTATATAAATTTAATTGGAGTATTTATTTGTGCGCGTCCAAAGTTAGAAGACATAAATGTCAGATATAATACATAAATATGCCTTTTAACTTGGTCTCATTTCACATTTATGTCCTCCAACTTTGAGTGTGCACAAGTAGACACTTAAACTTGTGTAAAATTGAACAAATACACACATACGTCCCACATGGAATCCTACATGGCAATTTGTATCCTGCATGGTGTCGTACGTGCATTATGTCACATATGACTCATGTGTCTACTTGTTCAACTCTATACAAGTTTAAGTGTTTACTTGTGCACACTCAAAATTGGAGGACATACATGAAAAATGAGATCAAGTTAAAGAACACATTTATGTATTATGCATGAATATCAGTTGAAACCAAAGTTAAAAAGACGTATTTATATATTATGTCATTTAAATAAGTAGATAACAATTTCACTATAGTTTAGGTGTGTTTCTTTAAAAATGAAAAAAAGAAGTAAATTTGAACCTTTTTCAGCCTTATTATGATCTTCCTCATATATGTAACCCTTCCCTTTTCTCTGAAAACCCTAATTTCAACTTTTTTTTGTATCCTCTAAGATGACAAGATCAGGTATTTTTTTTCTCCTTCTATGATTCTCACATTGCATTAAAATTTTGGCTACTTTTTATGTATCCAAAAAACTATGAACACACACATATTTAAGGAGCTATAAGCATAATTTAGATTTTTTATAGTCCCTTTAAATCAAGATGCTAAATTTTTGGTAAAATTTTCTGTTTTTAAATCTTGGAATGTTGAAAGTTGGTACACTGACCTGAGTTTGAATGATTCTTGTTTTTTCTCTGTTTTATTCTTCCTCTTATGGGGTTTCATTGAATTTGTACTTGTGTTGTTTGATTTTGATTCAATTTGGTAAGTGGTTGTGTTTAATGTGTTCCTAGGGCAAGATTCTGTAAAATCTGATGTGGGTTTTGGAAATAAAAACCAGAATGTAAAATTCGTGGTCAATGAACTAAGTTGAGAATCATGAGGTCTCACGTTCAAATCCAACCGTATCAAAGACAAAAAAAAGGAAAACATTAGGTGATTTCTTCTCATATGTTTTAGCTTAGGTGGAGTCGTGGAGAGAGTTACCTGGTAGCTGTTGCTTGTGTGAGTAAATATGGAATTGGTGTAGGTGCGTGCAAGCTAGCCCAAACACCACGATTATAAAACAAAAAAAATGTGAAATTGAGTTGTTCTATAGCCTGTTTGACAAATCTTCTGTGAAGCCAAAAGTGTTTATTTAAAGTTGAGGCGTTTTAGTGAAATTTTGAGGGAAAAAATAAGTGTTTTTGATTAGTAGCTGAACCTAAAAATTGTAACTTACTCAGAAGCACTTTTGGAACATTAACCAAGCACAAATTACTTCTTTGATATTGGTAAAAAGTGTTTTTCAAAGTTGATTAGCTAAACATGAATTGTTTTTCTCCTAAAGTACTTTTCCGAAAAGCACTTTACGCGGAAAAAAAACACAATTTTTTTTAAGTTTTTCTAAAGAGACTATTAGTCATATACTTCATGCTAAACGTATGAACTTTACTGTTCTTTGTAGTTTAAGGGATTGTTGAAGCAATAAGCTTATGTGTAGATGTAAAGAAAAAGATGGAAGGAAATACATGTGACATCAATCACTTGGATTCAGATGTGCTTTTGCCTCCGCGAAAACGGCTTCTAGCAGGATTGAAAAAACAGAATTTTGATGATGATAATCCATGTAGTCCATCCTCTTCTACTGATGATATTACAGATTTTGAGTTTGATATCCGTCTTAATAACTTGTTGAAGTTTCACTCGGATGATTGTCGTTCCATTGAGGAGATTGTCGAGGCCTCAAGAGTGGCAGCTTTAAAAGCTGTTGAGCTTGCAAAAGCTGCAAGAGCTGTTGCTGAAGAGAAAGCTGCGAAAGCATCAGAGGCTATGGCTGCTGCTAAGAGTGCTATGGAGTTGGTTGCTACTGTTTCTGGTGAGGTTACAGATAGAGACAAGTACTCGAAGAATAAGAATAAGTATAAAGGGATCAAGAATTGTACAACGGATGAAGATTTAGCTCGGACGTTAAGTAGGACAATAAACAGCTCTCCAAGAATTTCGAAGAACTCAACATCTGACTCAAGAAATCAAAAACATAAGAGGCTTAAAAGATCGTCTCCTGCCGAGAATGCTAAGCTTCAGAATGGAAGTACGTTGTGGGAAGCAAATCGACCTTCCACAAGCAATGGGATTGATATTACTGGAAATAAGGCATCAAATGGTCCTAGCCAGGAGAAAGAACTAATTAGAGTAGACTTGAGTGTAGCGAAATTCAACAAGGCGGATCTCAGAAAGATGGAAAATGGCAAAGAAGAACCAATCAACTCAAAGGAGGAATTCGGGGAATCACCAAATGATATATGTAACGTTGACAAAAAGAAGGGGCGGATGAAGCAGAAAACGTTACCCCTCAGTAATTGCAGTCTCAGGGATAAAGTGAACCCAAAAAGGACATGAATTTCAAAAGTTCATGAGAAGATCAACAAAGTTACTGCTATTAATGAGCCTATGTTTCCAGTTGAGAGGTCATCTACATTGAAGTGCCAAACTTTTAAGGCATCCACTTGCGTTAAACAATAAGTTGATGCAATCACAGTCTTCGTATTTTAGTTTCAAGTGAGGCGGCTACCATGATGGGACATATAGTCTGAGGTAGTCTCTTTCGTGTTTTTTCTGCTTCTTTTTATACACATGGCCTCTTCCATCCCAATTAACGTGTATAT